GGCAAAACAGACACCAGAAAAGTAGTTTGTTTGACCCCGAAACAGAGTGGAGGTCATATTAAGTGTTTGCATATTCCGTTGGTCCATCCGTCAGACGGTACGACTTCTTTGTTAGACTATTTGCAGCTCATTATTCTAATGTTTGAAGTTCGTCATTCATCAAACTTCATATATGGATATTTTTTAGGAATACTATACTAGAATACCAGATGTAGGTCACTGTGACCTACTTTCTTCGTTTCATTGGCTCGAGTTAGACTTTCTATTTAGTCCCATTTATTCCTTGAAGGCGACCCGGACGAGTAGTATACTTTTTACAGGCATCTGTGTTTACATTCCATTGTATTTTATTCAAACCACGAATTTCCAATTTACTAGAGGGAGCATAGATCCCCTTCCGAATGAAATTCATTTGGGTTGATATTGAGTATTCTTATACAACAATAAGATGTGACAGAAATCTTTATCGAGAGCTGAATAAAGGAAATGATTACCATTAATTTAAGAAGAAAAAAATATCAAATACTTAGTCTACTAAACGTACATGATAATTTGATACCATTCTGGTATTATAAAGTTTATACCAATTCATTATAACATATCAGCTGTTCTTTCGCAGACACAGATATTGGGGCCGCATTCAGCAGAACATCATCAACTCCCACAGCAGCACCATCCTCAGCACGCAGTTGTTGGAGCGTCAGGTGGGCGCAACGACAGCGGATTCGCAAGCGGTGCAAGTGGCGCAAGTCCAGCCTCTGATAGGGTCAACCAGATGACTATGGATCGGATGACCACAGCCATTGGTCAAATGTTTGCTGAATTCAGCGGCAAGGTGACCAATGATCTTCTTGATGGATTTGAAAGACGTCGCCATGAAGAGAGAATGGAAATTGAATTGTCTATGGAGAGAAAAATTTCTCAAGAAATCGAAAGAAAAATGGATGAAAAATTAAATGCTTTCCGTGGTGATTGGGAGGACCAAAAGACGTCACTGATTGACAGGAACGAAAAGGCGCTATTCTCCTTACAAGACAGCGTAGAACAGCTCCGGAACTCTTCGGACGCTTACAACCAACTAAAGCAAAAGTACGATCAGTTGCAACAAACTCATGCACAGATGAGGGACAAGGAGAACGAGAGATGGTCCAAGCTATCTACAACCAACAAAGAAAACACACAGCTGAGGAGCGAGCTCGAAATGTCCAACATAGAGATTATCAACCTGAGAGAACGTGTGGATGAATTGGAGTCGGACAATCGTGCTATGAAAGACAATGAACTTACAGATCAACACCGAATTAACCAAATGGTTGCTGAGAAGGAGGACCTCATTATCGAGCTGGAAAGAGCAGAGCGGGAAAAGATGGATCTGAAGATGAGAGTGGACTCCTTGTCGCGAGAGATAGAACGTCTACTTATGCAGCAACAGGAGCGCGCCAATAAGGACGACAAGGCTTACCAAGAGGCACTGAAGAAGCAGAACGAAAGGCTCGACGAACTGTACAAGGTCGTCCAGGCGCTTACCGAGCGAGAGCGGCAGTCAAAGACACTCTTCATCGGCGGAAACGCTGTACAGAAATCTGCACGCATGTCAAGACCCAACAAATAAATATCTGGATATGTTTTTTAGAGAATAGCTAATAACATAGGGTAAGAATGACATTGATAGACTAAATTGGACATCTGGCCTATTATACGAAGCGAAAATTCATGTAACATTTGATTTTGAATTCGTTCATCTTTTTGCGATTGAAAACAACACCGGTATTTTAGTGTTGTGCTACCTTCTAATCTAGACTTTCTTGCAAAATATGTACAGATATCACATTGTGTTAAATGGGATGTTTGTTTGCCAACGAGGTTCGGCTTAGGACAAACATTTTCTGGAACCGATCCTATGGATATACTGGGCATTTTAGTCATTTCGGACACCATTAGAATACGTGGAAATTCTTAAAAGCATACTGATTACACGTAGCTCTAACAGCAACGTTCCAGAACTAAAACGATGAGTAAATTGGAAAATATGACAGATCAGTATTTATTTAACTCATTCACGCTACAGTTCAGTTTTTTACTGGACTTGCACAGTCTTTGATTCGATAATGTTGAAATGTGATTGTTTGGGTTAACGCTATACATTGCTAGCTAATTAGACATCATACCCATTTTTTGCGTTCGCGTCTTTTGAATTTCAATTATAGCAATTTTAACATTATCGTTATCAATGCATGCAAATTATTTAAAAAGGCAAATTAATTTGTCAAAGAAATTTTACCATTTATAAGGTTATATACGTGTTTCTTAATGCGGTGCACGTTCGTATTGAATATGCGTGCCCTAGTAAGGTAGTATACTAGAAAGTTTTTTTCGCGAAAATGGTGACACAAATATAACAGAAAAAGATGCATGTCATTATTTCAATACAGTGCAATCCCTAGCTATTGATGAGCAATATTGTTTCAAGCTTTTGATGACAACTCTTTCCTCCGAAGGCTTTGTTATAGTACCAATAAAACGGAATATCCTTATAAATGAAAAAAATGTCGGTGTCGAATTGATAAGGGTCCGCTTTAAAAAGCCGGTGTTTCTAGATTGAATTTGTTTGTTATATATGTGTTAAAAACAACATATTTTCGAATTCGAATTATCTTAAGTTTTTGTCTCATTATTTCTTTAAGAGTACACTGAATACGTACAATGCTGCAGGTTTAATGATACCACATGTGTACATTACATTAGCAATGGAGATCAGTTGACGCAAAGTGGTACATTTGTTTAGCTATCGGGGAAATTGTATCATCAGAGAGGCAATGGTATTTTATTAAAAAAATATGTTATTAACTGAACTGTTCGTGTAGCATTGTTGCAATCTCTACCCAGAGTTGTCCTTCCTTACACTAACTAACACCACTGTCAACGGCTAAATGCCAAGAATCCTGGCAAAGTCTTGAAAATCGATTTGAGAGACTAATTATAATGCAGACTACTTTTAAGCCGTTGACACATGTGGTAGTGAGTGCAAGGAACGACAACTCTGGGTAGAGATTAGCAGTCGAGTAGTCGCCATGCCTGTTTGAGTCCATTGGCTAACAATAAGAATGCTCTCTTCTAATGCTATCTACAGTCGAGTCTCGGGAATCCAGCCACAATTCATTTCTCTTTTTGTCATCACCCAGTCACCACTTAACATTTATTTCACATTGTCAAGTCAAGAAAAATCCGGTTGTCCTACTTTTTAGCAACCATTAATCCAGTTGTCCCTTTACTCAACCACCACGTATCCGGTTGTCACACTATTCAGTCACCACTTACCCGGTTGTCCCACCCTGCGGGTTGTGTCTTTGGGGGACATTCCAGCATTTCAGCAGACTCATATTCCAACCACTCTTTGTAAAGGTGTTATCGAGACTCCACTGTACATTCATATACACCACTACACTCATTTAGCATGACTGCTTCTAAATAACCATGCAATAATATGTATATATTTAGTTTTTAATCTTCAGTGTTTCCCGGGAGGGATTTTCTTCCTTTAAATTGTTATTATGTACGCATAAAATTTGTTTTAAATTGATAAAAAAATGATTATGTACATGACTATAGGGTAGACTAAGTTCCTGGGGAAAATCACGTTTATATTTCTTTATCCTATATCTGAATTTATAGACTATACCGTTGGTTGTGTTATTAAATCACTAACTATTGATACCAATTACAGATTTTTTTTATGATATCTTTGAAATTAGTTATACATGTAAAAACGTTTTCCTAAATGCAGTAGACATGTATATGTTATATTAACGTGTACTAGATGTGTGTTATAAAGATTGAGGATGTTACGAGTACAATATAAATACGTCGCTGTACACATTTTTTCCAGCTTTAGCTAGAAGACAACTTGTATAATCATCAACAAGGAAATCAATCGGTTCTGGGTAACTTTTTCAATATCCGTGTGAGTTTTCGTCTTATTTCGTCTTATTTCGTCTTTGTGATAATGTCCTGAATGACATTTATTTATATGCAATGATATGTTTTATACTCATTTAGCACGGATGAGTAAACTATTTTGCTTGATCAGTATTAAGTCTTCTCGACAGGTTTTGATTTTTAATATGGAAACGATTATATTAGTGATCTTGTCTTTGGTGACTGTTTTTTTTTTCTCCGATCAGGGAAACATGGAGTTAAACATGGTCTTCTCAAGTCTTAAATCATTAAAATGTATGTTCGTAGCCTATTATCTTAATCGACGCTTGTTTCACTCCGATCAGTGAAACATGGAGTATTACCTTAAGTCTTAAATCATTAAAATGTATGTTCGTAGACTATTATGCACATTTTTTTAACTATTTTTTCTGCATTTCGTTGTAAAATAGTTTCATAGGTTCGGTGTTCATATTCCTTTCGTCAGATTTTCAGTCGTGACCATTTTAAGTATTTGAGTTATAAAGATAGTGCGTTTTGTATTCCTTTCGTCAGATTTTCAGTCGTGAACATATTTGAGTTATAAAGAGAGTGCGTTTTG